GAAAGAGTGCTTGCTATATGGAAAAGTGAGTTGAAAATGAGTTGAAAATCCTTTACCAGTGACCAAACCAGGCTTGCTCTGCTGTGCAAGCCCCAAACAGGCTGAAGTACCCAAAGTGATTGACGTGCAGACTTTAGTATTAAAAAAAAGAGATAGTTTTGAGAGGAGTGGATTCATTCTCACAATAAATGACAAAAAGAATTCTATTTCTTTAAGACACAAACAAACCAAACCGCCTGTTCCCAGCCTTGTAGAGAAAAAAGGATTCTCACGTTCAGCACTTCCTGCCGTAGAGTCGCGGGCTCCACACAGCTGATGAGTCGAAGCAGCAGGTCCATCATTGCTGATGTATCTATATGCTTTAGCACCAGGCTAATGAATTTGTCTTTTTTCCTTAAAAATGCAATCACCTAAAAATAAAAGCATCATCATCAGTGGTTAGTACGACATAGAGACACGGCAGGTGGAATTTCCTGTACTTCACCTGCTTGTCTCAACCAACTGATGAGACAAGATTGATTTTTCTTGATGCAAAATTACTATTAGGTTGAGAAATTCTCCAGAGAACACAGAGGGAAGAGTACCATTCTCATTTCAAAGCAGTATTAAATTAAATCTTTTTTAAAGTTATCTTTTCTTTCCTCTGTGTCACAAAGAAACCCACAGAAATAGGAGAATCAAGAAGCTGAGGAAGCTGGAGAATTTTTCCTTCCCGCTAAGGCTCTGAGAGGGGAATTCTCTCATTTAAATAAAAATCACTTTTGAATTGGAAGGCATGTATTCCTAAAACCCCACTGGACTCATGTTTCCAGCACCCCTTTTATAGGCATGAGACTGAAGCATTGTTTATGCAACGAGATGCTTCTGGGCAAGGATCAAAGGCTGCACCAACATGTCTTAGTATGAAATATAAAGCTTTAGCTGCGGCACAGGAATATCCCAGTTACCGCAGGTCTGAAATTAGAGCTGTGTAAAAGTGTCAAAATAAGGCAGCAACTCCCTCAACTGAGGAATCTGAAGAACTTCTCAAAGCCTACAATTCCAACCTTAAAGAGCACAGCGAGCTATTTCTCATCTCTGAGACCACAGTGAGATCAGGAAGGCAGCAGTGACGCCGCCGTACAACACAAACAACGGCAGCGAGTGAATCTGTGTTTAAAATCTAATCACTACCTGTTCCGTTTTTCTTGCAATGAGATTCCCAATAGTCTTACTGAAGAAACTGGCAAGCAAAGGGTTCAGAGGAGGCTCGTGATCCAAGAAGTCATAGAGGATATTCAGCAGAGTTTCATCCCCTCCGAGCTTGTCGTTGATCTGCGGCACATCCGAGGTCAGCAGTTCACAGGCTGTGTTTGGATATCTGGAAGGACAGAACCGGAGCAACTAAAGGTGAAATGAAAACTCTCAAAAAAATCTTCCCTTCTTACAGTTCTAAAGGAAAGAGAATTGAGGATCACCCTTCCTGGAGACAGGGGGGAAACCCACAGGAGAGACAAGGGTCGGGTACATCAGTGGCAGGCTTGAAGGAAGGACAATTTCCTGTGGAATATCATCATCCCTGTGTTCCAAGCGCTGAATTACGACCCCAGCTGCCTCCCCACTCCTGTTCCTTCTCATTTTTCAAAGTGATGCTTCATCAGCTTCGATACACTTAAAATCTCTACAAATCTTTTAACATGAATCCATCTGCACAACTTAAATTCACCCCAAACCTGAAGGCTGATTTGAAGAACACGGATTTTTAGCAGGTGTCTGTAACGTTTCTGAGAAATTATTCTTTCTACAAATCAAAAGTGAGCATTATCATCATCAAAAAAAATAATCAAGAGGGCTACAAATGAGAGCCAGAACATTTGATACAACACAAAGCTCCTAACAAATCAGCATACACTATGGACAAGCACGTAATTGATTACCAGTCTTTGGAATTTTAATTTTTCAGCAGAGTCTACAAATTTCTGTACAATAAACTTGTTTTTCAGAAAATACCACTGTGCCTGGTTTAGATAATTTTGCTCACTCACATCAGAACATGAAATGATATTTGACAGCTAATGAAATCCCTTTTTTTTCCCTGACCTTGTTTCTTGTTCCTCCACATGGTGCCTTTAGAAACAGGTCACACTTATGATCAGAAAAGGTAAAAACATGTTTATAATTAATATTATAAATAGAAAATGTCTCAAATATCAAAGTACATACACACAAAGAGAATCCCAAAATCCCAGAGTGGTGGGGTTGGAAGGGACC